CTTGCTGCCTTGCCTTGCCTGAGTCTGCTAGCCTAACAGCCTGACAAGTGGCGGTGGACAGTCATGTGAGATGAATCATGAATGGCCGTGTCTTAATTACGACTATTGGCCAGCTGGCCAGGACAAACTGGCGAATGGCAAGGCAGACTGCGTCGTAATTCGAGTAGGACAGCCAGTAAGAATACTCCGTCTGGAGTAACTTGTCCCTGACAGCATAATTAATTAATAATTAATTACTGGTCCTAGGGAGTATGGAGTAATGATTCTCGAATGCTTCATAGAATCAAGCCTAGTTATTGTACTATACTCTACGGGGATTGAGCTGGGCTTCCCCGGAAGGACTGTATGGAGTAGCCGGGGGCTGGTGACACTAGTATGGATATGATTGGCTAGGTACGGAGTACTCTATTCTTGTTATTCTCTAATAATTCTTTCTGAATTGTAGGCTCACATGATCAGGGTCCACGTACTTAGGCAGTTTAGGTATGGTGACTCTGTCCTACTCTAGACTTCTAGTCTACAAGCTTGCCCAAGGCTGCAAGGCGACTTTCCACAGTGTCGGACTCTCAGGACCAGTCTCTGACCAGTCCCTGATGACGCAGGCAGGGCGACGATTCCCTGTTTCTCGCCTAACTGAAACCGTGCCTAGTCTAGACCCAGTAGGCGTCGTGCGGCCATCCCCGACGAGTGAGCTTCGCAGCACGCACTGCTCGACCGTTGGGCTGACTGGCAGGCCAATAAGCCCCAGCGACCCCTGTGCCTGGCAGCTAGCCTGGTTGAGAAACAGATGATCGCATACTCAAACACTCCAGGGGCTGCCGCCTGGCTCCCCTCTTTGTCAGGATGGAGCATCCGGCCACGCTACGCCTGGATGCGTTCCGCATCCCTCGATAGTCGAGATCGCTTGCCAAAATTGGCACCGCAGACCCTGGCGAGTTCTGGCGCCTCACAGACAGCTACTCACGGCCTGACGTCGGCGATCTGATCGGGCGTGCTGTCTGCACTCTGCTGTCTGGACCTGGAGTAGCGTGGATCTTGGATGAACGAGTCGACATTCCATCCCAGAGGCAACCGTAGAGTACAAAAACCCTCTCGATCCCTCGTCGACTGCTGCTTCGATCAGATCAATCTCAATCTTCATCAATCTTCATCTTCAGCACAGCAACACTTTTGAATTCAACAGACCCCTGCTGGGAGCACCGCCCCCAACTGATTAGTCTTATCCTTGTCCGCTGTGACTCAGTGCCTGGCAGTGCCACCACTGCGTTTACACTTTGTTCATATCTTCATAACTACACTACTTCATACGCCTGATTCTCGTTAATATTCTTTATCCTTCTACTCTTCACTCGAACGTGCTGTCCTTGCATCGTCGCTGCTGAGACCGCTGCTTGCCTGATTTCGCTCGCAACTAGTCGTCCCATCTACTCCCACTTTCAACTCAACATGCCTCACAAAATCGAGCTCTCCGAATCCAATCCCTCCAGCCGGGGCAGCACCAACGAGAGACATCAGTTCCCCGCTACGGATACGCAAGGTATGTTATGGATCGCCGTGCCAGTTT